TATATATATATGTGTGTGTGTGATTTATAACTCAAATCAATCAATATAGTAACTTCAATTAATGTTAATGTCTGGATCGAAGTGCAAATAATCTACGAAAGGATTGATACCGACAAGTGAAACCAAAAGGATACGAAGGCGGTTCAGCTCCGGTTTTGTCATACTTTGTTATTTCGTACTCTGTTTTTCTCTATGCAAACAGAGTGTTATGGTTCCACATCATTCAAATAAATTCATCTTATGAACCGCCTTGGTATCCTTTTTCATCATTTAATTTTATATATTTTCAAGATAAAAATACAATTATATATACACTTAAACAGAACTAGGTGTTTTGCCCGCCATGCGGGCTTAAGTGTTTTATAATTATATATACTAATTAAATATATTACTAACTAAAATTATAAGCATATATTATTGTTTGTGTTTTCATTTTGAAAATTTTTAATCTTCAAAATTATTCAAATATTATTTTTTCATTTATANTCAAGATAAAAATACAATTATATATACACTTAAACAGAACTAGGTGTTTTGCCCGCCATGCGGGCTTAAGTGTTTTATAATTATATATACTAATTAAATATATTACTAACTAAAATTATAAGCATATATTATTGTTTGTGTTTTCATTTTGAAAATTTTTAATCTTCAAAATTATTCAAATATTATTTTTTCATTTATAAAAAATTATGAATTTTAATTAATTAATATTTAATAATTTATTGTATGTTTTTGAATTTTTAAATATTTTATCAAAGATAGCTTTCAGATACCAATACAATATATATATGAATTATCTGTTTAAAATAAAATATATTTTTTAAAATAACTTATCAAATAAAATAAATTTAAATTCATTTTTATATATAATTAATTTACATAATTTATTCATTAATGGTATAAACGATATTAACCACGTTAACTTTTAACGTGGGAGCCCCGTTACGAAAAATTACTTTGCTTAAGCTTTTTATAATTATTTGTTAGTAAATATATTACTAACTAAAAATCATTTTCAAAATTTTTACTTTTATTAAAAATTATTCAATATTATTTTTCAATTATATAAAATTAATAATTTTAATTAATTAATATTTAATTATTGTTTTCTGTTTTTGAATTTTTAAATATTTTATGAAAAGATAGTTTTAGATAACAATACAATATATATAGGAATTATCTTTTTATAATAAAATATATTTTTGATTTTGGATAACTCTTATTGTTATTGATTAAAATAAATTATCTAATAATAAAATAAAGTAAAATTCGTTTTTATATATAATTAATTTATATAATTAATTCATTAAGGGTAGAATCGATATTAACCACTCTAACTTTTAACGTAAGGGTAGAATCGATATTTATCAGTCCTCGTAAATGGAAACCTTGCGCAATTTCAAAATTGCTAATTTGTTCGAAGTTTTCACCGCATCATCAACTCTTCCAGCGCGAACATATCCATTGACCATGGATCTGAATGTAGACACATCAGGAGGAGGAGACAAGTCTTTGTCTGAACACATGTCCTCAAAGAAACCTTCAGCCTCCGACATCATCCCGCGCTCGCAAAGCCTAGCGATCACGTTACTATAACACCGAACCATTCTTTTGCTTCCCTGTTGTGACTCGTTGAATGTCTCCATGGCCTTGTTAAACTCGCCAATCTCAAACCAGTAGTCCACCATTATATTAACGGTCTCTGAATCAAAACGTTTGTGTTTTTTCAACATGGTGTGGAACAAGTCCTTAGCCTTTACTTCGAACAAGGCCCCAGCCTCAACTTCCTTGCCATGTGCTAGCAAAAGCCTCAAAAGAGTGTTCCCAGTGGTGGCAGGCAAGCTTTCCCAAGTACGGATAGAGCTATAGCACTCCATAGCTTTCTCTTCACTGCCATGTTTGAACCAGTACTCCACAAATATTGTAGCAATCGATTTGAAAACTTCCGCCGAATCATCATCATCGTATTCCAGCCTATTCTTGTGGAAGTAATCACCAGCATCTTCAGCATCCATCTGGTCCAAGCGCCCACGAATCTCAATGAGCATGGGCGTCCAATCAATAGCTAAGCATCTACTTAATCCCACGAATATTTCAGCTTCCCGGTAGCCATAGGCGTGGACCAAGGCTTGAGTCAAAACACTGAATGTCTCTTTGTCTGCACCGAACCGAGCAGCGTGACGGTAGAGTTGAAGGGCGTCGTCGACACGGCCTAGCTCACAAAAGGCTTTGATCACGTGGTTGAAGGAGGCGATGTTAGGGACGATGTTATTCTCGTTGAAGAAGTAATGAAACAGAGCGATGCCTTCTTCGAAACGTTTCCCTTGGCACATGGCTCCGATGACGGCGTTGCATATGAGTTATAAATCACACACATATATATATATATATGTGTACATAATTTAATATATTATTCCCTCCATTTTATTTTAGTTGTCATTCTATATTTTTGCATACAGATTAAAAAAATATTTAATTTTATATATTTTCAATATAAAAATAAAATTATATATACACTTAAATAGAATTTTACATAAAACTAATAAACTTTTATTCGAAACTCTAAAATGATACTTAATTTGTGACAAAAAATTAAGCATACGATGACAAGTATTCTGAAACGGAAGTAGTATGGAACAGTAAAGATTTTAATGTTGGTGTATTAGTGAGTTTGAAGGTATCATATATAAGCTCATTTTTTTAATATTTCTGCAAAAGATTATGAGTATTTGCACTCCATATACACACAAAACCCAATATTTAACTTCATAACCTATTTCCACATTCTCTCTCCTCCCCCCCCATTACTACTTTGTTCCCCTAAACTATGGCAAATCCTTAAATAATTTCTTTTTTTGGTATATTGAGCAAATTCACTCAAAGATTATCTTAATATTTAATTTTATAAATGAGCTTCTAATAATATTATTCTTTCTTTTCGTGCATGTGTTTCTATGCATGGAATTTATAAAATAAAATAGAGTTAAAAACAGAATATTAAAATAAAAATTTATAAAACGAATAGTTTATGTTATGTTATTAGCTCAACCATAATAGCTAGATCTGCTATAATTGATAAGGACTAGGAAAATAATAGTACATCATTATCTAAACAAATCTAGGAGTTATCTGAATACTCTCCAAGTTCATAAATAATTAGGGTTTAAAACAGAGTATATTACGTACCAGTCAGGTTTTTTATTCTAAAAGGCCTCTGCTTCTCTCCTCCCGATCGACGCCAAGATGATGATGATGATGTTACTCCGCCGCCGCACTCTCCTAAGGTCTTGCTCTTTCTTAAATTGTCACATCTCTTCCACGTCTGCTGCCGCCACGTCGAATCAATATGAAGATGAAAAGAATCTGTACTCGACGGTCAGATCCTTGATCCGTAGCTCAGAGCTCAACAAGGCTGTGGAGTACGCACGCACGCCCGTTGTTAGAAACACCCGCTTGGCAACCAGACGCGCTATATTTGACCTTGTAATCCCAGAATTGGATCAGGCCAAACGTTACAAAGACGTCTTAAGTCTCTGCTTCTACTTATTCCGTAACTACGACGACAACTCTAAAAGCTTTGATTTCGGACATCTTCTGCGCAAAGCTAAGAAGAAATGGGGACTCAACCATTCTCATGTCTCATGCTTCAACAAGTGTCTTGTCTCAAATCCTCCTCCTTACCCCATCATCATCCTCGGAGATGTCATCGTCGAGCCGCCCAAGAATCAATATTACGATGAGAAGCATCTATACTCGACGGTTAGATTCTTGATCCAGAATCTCTCTGATCTCGACACCGCCATGGAGTACGCACGCTTCACAGCTTTCACCACTACTCGGACTGCAACCACAACCGCTACTTGTGACCTTATCATCGCAGCCTTGTGCGAGGCAAAGCGTTACACGAACGCATACCATCTCTTCCATTACTTTTTCAACCAATCCAACATCAGTCTCAGCGTCGATTGTTGCAACCACATCGTCAAAGCTCTCTGCGACGACGGTCATGCCCACGTTGCTCTTCAACTCCATCACCACATCCGCGGCAATGATGATGATGATAATCATGCCCATCCTCTGGATTACCAAACGTACCGTATCTTGACCAAAGCTTTGTACCTTTCAGGGTACATGGATGAAGTACTGGATCTGGTTAAAGATATCTTCTCTTTGGATAATAATCCAGACAAGTACGACGCTGTATTCTTGGATGAGAAAGATTTTGACAAAGCCTGGGCACTTTGTTGTGAGGAGCTTATAAGTAGTGGTAAAGATGGCAACAACAAGGTTGGTTATCCAACGGTAACCAAAACAGCGGTAACTGTTTCTCTAATTGAGTATCATTTCAGTAAATGTGAGGATGAAAAAGCAATGGAGATTTACACTTGTTTGGTAGCTGACACATGTGGTAAGATTGAAGATGCTTCCAAGAGACCACTCTTCGAACTCTTGTTTAAGTACGGTAAAGAAACGGAAGCTTGGTCATTGGTCAAAAACCATCATTTGATTGAAGACCGGCCACAACATATTGGAATACAAGATTTAACTATGTATGATTTTTTCGGTTACGAGCTCAGGATGACAAAGGAAGCCATCGACACGTTGAAAAAAGTGAGACAGATACAAGATTTCACTATGTGCAAATTTAACCATGCACCATACTCCAACGTCATCACTAGGTGTTGCGAAGATGAGAATACTTTGTCACACGCAAAGTGGATAATGGCTGAATTCTTGAACGTCCATGATCCATCGGCTTACAAAATATCCACATTTCAAGAAATGATCAATGTCTATCTAAAGGCTGGGAGACTCGATGATGCTTTGGACACTGCAGACATGATGGTCGATGCAAATCTAAAACTTGTCTCTATCTTAATGAAGAGCTGATGATTTTTCTAGATTATACTCCCTCCCTTTCCAACCTTTTCTGCTTCAAAGTAAATGATGCTTAATCCCGATACGCTCTTTTATTATATATTTTTTTTTTATCAAGAAAACTTGATAACAACTTTCAAAGTCCTAGTTTTTCCAGTGTCGGTCCTATATAAGTCCTATGTCTCCTAAAGTAGACAAACAAAATGATGCCTTCTAATAACACTTTTTTACTTAAGCTTTTATAAAACCAATAAAAATCCATAATTGTTTTTTTTTTTAATAATTCTGAAAGTTCATCAAAAACCTCATAGATTGTTCTAATAGGTAAAATAATGACTTTAAACTTTTCTCTGCATTGAACATGGTACTTAAGAATATTATTGGTTTCAGATTTCACTAATTCCTCGTGTATCCCTTTAGACTGAGTTCTTATTTTGTTTACAGAAGCACTTTCTACAAGTCCATGAAAAATTAGAGTAAATTTATACTTACGTAAGTGAAAAAAACAGAGCAATACATAAACTGGTAAATACAAGACTAGACAACGATCATTTCAATTTTTTTTTTAGTTTGTAAATTATACTGAATCTTTCAATTGTGAGAGTCCAAGAGAGCATTATAACCTAAATAAATTTCATGTATGTTATTGGCTTTTTAAAGACCAAAAAAAAAAAAAAAGTGGCGAAAAGGAGGATAATTAGTAGGAGAAGAAACATACATGAATTAAAAAGACAATGGAAGAAGAGAATGTCCTTTTTTTTTTTTGGGGAGGGGGGGGGGCAAATAAGAGAATGTCCTTAAAAAGCGCAATACCCTGCTCTTCATCTAACTATGCCACGTCATTAAAAGTGCCATGTAACCAGTCAAAAACGCGGCCCAACGACAAATCATTGGTTTTAACCCATATCTCGCTCTCTAGTTAAAGTGCACGTCCACCACTCCAAATTAAACTCCTTTAATCGTTTCACCTCCCTCTGTTTCTCTCATTATAAACAAACTCCATTCAACCAAAATCAGGCTATGGCGATGAGACTGGAAAACTCGACCGTTAAGTCTCCATTGGCTTGATTTGTTTGCCAGCATCTCCCCCTGACATTTCTGAAAATCCGGGAAACAACTTTGATATCTGATAAAAATTTACCTGCTCAGTTCCCACTGATTAATCTCTTTTAAACGACTGATACAAAGCTATAGACCCAAGGCAAAATTGCGTGAGGACAAACCTGTTCTTGAAGCCAAGCATGAAAAATTTGTATCAGCCTATATGTACCAAGTTAATTGTTAGTGAGAAAGTCAGAGTTTTCATGTGAGATAGTCTTTATATCATCTTTTAAAATCAAAACCAATTTGATCTAAACAATGAAAAGCGATTGACACCTGTGTTGTGTATACTTTTTTTTTTGTTTTTTTTTATCTGCAGCAGTGTTATCTTAAACTTCCTTGGTATTTTCTAATGCACAGCACCATGAGATTGTGAATGGAACTACTGAAGTCAAACCAACTCCAGCAGATACGAAGATGGACCAACGAGAGGAAGAAACTGCATAATAAGATAACTTGAGGAACGCTGTGTCGTTTCTTGTGTATTTTTCTTTTAGTGTTTTGGAAAGCAAAGAAAGAAAAAAAGAGTTTAGCATGTTCCACGTTTCTGGCTGATGGCCTTTGAACAACAATGATGTCAAGTCCGAGGAGGTATACTATATGCAGTTTTGGTATTCATTTCGTATGACACTCTAACTATAACTATGGAAAAGTACATCTACCTTTATGTCCTTCATGTTAGGTCACAGAGCGTGATGAAGAGGCTCTCCAAATATCATAAAGATATTAACTGGTGCAAGGCTGAAGAGCCTAAATGATCCAAAATCGAGTTTTTTCTTTGACTTCAGTCTTATTTTAAGAACATTTTCTTGACAAAACCTTATCATATGACTGATGAACATGACCGACTGCTTGAAAAGGCTACACAGGGTATCCCACTTGCTCTTGTTTCCGCTTCTATATATGATCCATATCATAGAGGTTCAGACTCAGTTTATCCTCCCTCAGGGTTGCCTTATGCTCTGCAGTTCCTACCCTTGTGAGAGAAGTTTTGTTCTCAGTCACCAGTCAAGTTATGGTATGCTCCTGGTTCTCATTCTCCTGGTCCAGAGCTCCGTGGGAATGAACTTGTGGATGCGTTATAGAATGCTATTTCTCGTGTTTGTCCCCATGAAGCGGTATCATCTTCAGGTGGCTCTCGCTTAATCCACCATTTAGCTGGTGGTGCACCATTTATAAACTGTAAAAAAGTGCTCCAACTACTGAAGTTTCCAGACAAAATAGAGATTCTGCTACAAGAAAACAACAGAAACTGCGGTGCGTGCTCTTGTATGATACAGATAAGAAACTCATTCTCTCAACTGATCCTGCTTCAGCAAGATAAAGAAGAAGCTTATAGTAGGCTGCATTGGGTAACTGCTGTTGACCGTCTCTTCTGATAACTCTGCTTGCGAATTCAATGCAATGTATCAACTGGTCTGGCTTATCTGAAGACGAGCTAATTTCAGACAGATTTGCCTCTTACTCTCTGTGCATCCAAGTCTATATAGCATTTGAAGTTATAACAATTTTTCTCAGACTAGAGAGCCTCGTGATCAATGTACAAAAAATGACTTGAGAAATTTTGTAACATGAATCCCGTTATTAAGAGCAGCAAGAAACTAAACATTGTATCCAAAAGCTTCCAAAAGCATTGTAGCTTTAAACTCCATGAACTAAAATATTTGAACATTAAAAGCACACACATGTAGCATCTTCAGACATTCTTCTTTTACTAATACTTGGTAGGGTCTGTACTCATGAAGTGTTCCTCAATGGTTGGCATTGAGAGTGTGTTCTTTGGCTTTCCTTCCGAACAAAGCTGGTAAAGCTTTGGAAATGACTTCCTGATTTCAAGAGAAGCAGCACCAGGTACATGCAGAATGCCTGAGGTGAGGGTTAGAGCGTGGAGCTGTCTGGCCATGTTGACTTCACACCGTTCACGAGAAAGAAGATCTATCAAGCGGCACCTAATATCAAGTACAGGGAATGTATCTTCATTAAGAGGGACTTGTGCTGCTGCTTCGGCTCTCTCCAACACAGCTTTGGCAATTGTCGCTTTTCTCTCAAGAGTAGAAGGATTATGATATTTAGTGAATCCCCTAGTTGAGCTGAAGAGGTAGCTCCTCTGCATGTAAAACATCAATGTTAGCCGTGCCTCAATGTTACAAATTGAAACATTGGCTTAGGGCATCAAATTTTCTAAAAATAAAGAAGGGCATATTTTATAGTTTCATCTACTTAAACTCACTAAAAAGTAGAAATTAAATGTTTAAAATCTGAAATATTTATGATAATTAGAATTTTAAAACACAAGAGTATAATATAAAGTTATGGTTGAGCAACCAAAACGGTATCTCATCATTTGTATTTGATAATAAACAACAAAGTAAAAAAGTTTGATTGTTTCACTATTATTATTTTTTTATCTGGGTATTCTTGTAAGCATACTGTATAAACTATTAAATGCTTTTCATCAATATATTTATCTAATAGAATTGCTTAATTAAAAGTTTTAAATTTTAAAGTTTATATAGTATTTTTTAGAAAAGTTCATACTAAAATTTGTTTAGTAGTTTAACTTTTATTTGCTTCATTATATAAGCTAACAATGTACTAATTTATAACTAAGTTGAAGCATATTATTTTTAATCGCTTATGGCAGTTCGAAATGCTCGCACGGCATTGTATATATACAAGCATAACACTCCATATACAATCATGTGTTTTGTACCATTTTCTTGGCATAGATGTACATAAAAAAAGAGTTCAAAACCATAAGGTTACTTACCAATTATGGAACCTAATAAACGATTTGACTCAATCTCTGTACTTTTAAAAAGAGTGCTCAAATACCTTGAAGTATAAGGCACGCATCAGAGATGCTGCTTCAATCAGGAGGCTTGACTTATCAGTATTAAACGCCCTCGCGTAACAAACGTTTTTCTGTACATCATCTTCTTTAAATCCAAGCCTACACGGTTTATAATGCATCAGCTCCATACAGTACTGATCTAAATCATATACACCGAAAGGATAGGAATCTCAACGCACCCGGTTTTATAGAAACCCATAGGCTGATCAGTCTTCTCGTAAGCTTCATCATAATCACTTTCCTGTAAAAAAATGTTCAAAACGACATTGACATACAAACATTAATATATATTCTCTTATAATATGAACCAATCCGTGTGGATCTTGATCTAACCTTCTCGATTGGTTCCATCGGCAACTCCTCACGAACACTTCGTGCTTCTCTGATCTGTGCAGATCGGCTCTGCGTCACCATTCTAACCAATCCCAGGTTTTTTACCTGAACGATAGAAGAAGAAGACAAGTTAGAAGAAGAAGACAAGTTAGAAGAAGAAGACAAGTTAGAAGAAGAAGAAGACGAAGAAGAATCAAGATCCACATAACGATGAAGTGAGAGAGATAGGGAAGGTACGATAGAATTCTTACCTTCGTACAGCGGCGAAGAATCATCATCATCTATCTTTCTCTTTCGCAGAAGATGATGAAGTGAGAGAGATAGTGAGAGAGATAGTGAGAGAGAGAGAGAGAGAGAGAGTCCACGAGAACGTACCGAATCTTTATAACAAACCATAACGACCACTTTCCAGAAAGATTCTTTTTTTATCCGTCAATTTTTATATTAAATAAAAGGGTCAAAGCCCAAAACATTACAATAATTATCATATTTAGTTTAATAAAAATATGTTAAAATTTTTATATCAAGAGGTATATTGGACATTTCTCCTGACCCCAAAATATATTTTCTTCACCAAAAAATCCTACATCGAAACTAATTTTACAGAAATTTGTTTGAATTATAGATTTTTGATTTCGAACTTTCTATAAATTTTTTTTTATTTGATTTTTTTTTCAAAATTAATGTTTTCAAATTTTTATTTTGTGATTCAAAAATTTATTTT